TCACCCAGGCTTGAGCAATATAATCATTTAAATGAAACATTTCGAGATTAAAGTCGAAACATTTCGAGAGTACGAGAATACAGTCTTCCGTAGAAGCTGCGCATGTGTGCTTGCCATTGTCTCACATTGCCGCACACACAGGCATTCATAATGGCCAATAGCGAGTTTCACACTGTGTGTGTGTGTGTGTGTGTTTTGTTTCATCAAAGGAAATTCAACAGGTGCCAATCTACCAGCATTAGGCTACCTTTGTAGGACGTTATAAAATATACTGCGCCGGAATAGACTTTAGCCTATAGGAAAACCAACACGGAAAACACTTTTCAGACTGGATGGAGAAATCCAGCTTTATGAATGAATGAATAGGGCATTTATATAGCGCTTTCATATATGCCTACACTCAAAGTGCTTTACAATCATATCAGAGAATCTCTCCTCAACCATAAGTGGTTATTAAATCTTAGGAAATCACAGGATCCGGCCAAATGATTGGATACAGAATGATGCACTTAAAATGTATCCAGAGCGTATTTACGTTGAAGAGGGAGACCGAACAGTTACTGTTGTGTTCTCGACCCAGATAGTGTTGACTAGACGATCACGAAAAGACCTCAGAAACACTGCCGCTAGCACGTGTGACGTGTGTAGAATTTTGTTGAAAGCCCAGATAAAAGTAAAAAGCTAATATTTTGGGTTTATCCATGGCAGTTCGACTTCACACACACACCCTGAGCCAGTGGACGCGCACTGTTATGAATGCACAATGTTTCGACTTTAATCTCGAAACATTTCGACTTTAATCTCGAAACATTTCGACTTTAATCTCGAAACATTCCGACTTTAATCTCGAAACATTCCGACTTTAATCTCGAAACATTTCGACTTTAATCTCGAAACATTTCGACTTTAATCTTGAAATGCTAGATTTTTATTTTACTGACTTTTTTTTTTAGGTTGCGGTTCAGGGCTTGCGTAGTACTCATTATTGTTCTCAGCTCATTATTTTCCTAATGTGACACGCTAACTGAGAGCACGCTCAATTCAAACGCAAATGATCTGAAGCAACACTTTGAGACTGTAAACGCCCACATAAACTCGGTAAACACACGATATTTAGTCAGATACTCAGATTGATGTATTGCAGAGTCTTCGGAGGCTGCAAGGAATAATCACCATCAATGTTCTCTCTAAGCTGCGCTTCTGCAGCCGTGCCGCGCAGAAAATAGTAAAATGCCAAGTAGAGAACTGACGTGAAATGTGTGGGGAAATCCATTTGATTGTAGTTTAAGTAAGAAATAATTTCAGTGCTCTGGTCAACCGCTACAGAGTGAAAAATGGTGAATGCAGTTTACAGGTTTCACAGAAAGAGAGCGATGTGAGCATGTGTGATTGGCAGTGAGTCGTGTGTGCGGACAAAATAGCTCAATATGCAACATGACATCATGACTTTTGCGTAAACATACACGCCACTTTCAAGTCAAGTGGCGTGTTACCTATACGCATTTTGAGCTTTGAGTATGCGTATATCTGCGTGAATGCATGTCTACGCCATTAACGTCCGAGTGATTCCACGTGTCTGTACACGCCTTTAAATGTCCGAGCGAAACGAAGCAAAATGTACATCTACATCTGGGGAGCGATCTTTTTTTTCCTAGGATGGTAAAGGAAGACTCATAAATGCTATTAACCCCAGTGACGGGTAGGTTTAGGGACGGGGTTGAGGTAAGTCATATATTTATATATACAGTAATAACGTTAAGTCAACAGCGTTCATAATCACGCTGAAAAGCGATTATGCGTGTTGATAGCACACCAAAAATGGAAATACGAATTGGTGTGTCATAGATACGCAATTTTATGAGATCAGTCTGCAATATGAGGCAACGAGAAACAAAAAGACATGTGAAATAAAATCACAACATAATGTTTTAAAGAAGAGTGGTTTGATTAAAGTGGTGGAAATAAGACTATTAAGACTATTCAAGTTTCAAACTCTGTCCTTTTTAAGCCACTGTCAGAAGTGTTGCATCCAAGCCAGAAATGGACTTGCCATGTCATAGTAAAGTCAAGTCACCTTTTATTTAAATAATGCTTTTTACAGTACAAATTGTTCCAAAGCAGCTTTACAGAGATAACAGGGGAAAAAAATGTTGTAATAGTATTGTTAAATTCAAAATGAAATTTCCCTGCATCTAAGCTTATCTAAGCATCCTTATGGTATAGCTCAGTCAGCACTGGCTCATTTCAATGTGAGCCGCTAAGATGGCAAGGCATTGAGAAAGCACATGAAAATAAATCTGATGTGGCTAGAGCTCTAAGCTTTCCAAAAAGGAGAGAAAACAATAGCTGGATTATATTCTCAACAGAGGGAAATACAGTATGCCCACAATGCTGCCGTTATGGAATCAGGAAAGGGGGAACTGGTGCCATTTATACAACCACTTAAAGAAGCGCAGGGAGAGGATTTCATCCATTGTGCGTACAAGGACTTTTTACAAAAAAAGGTGGCGACATATAAGTTCTTGTAGACTTAAACCTCAGTCAGTCCCCTCCCAAAACAGAAAAATCTGTGTTCAGTCTGTGTACACACATGGGGTCTGTGCCTTCAAACAACTATGGGGAGTAATCAGTGCCATGAATCCTGACCCAATCACAGATATAACAAAACATGTCAGAGTAATTACTGAAATTGGGCAGCACTTGTTGAACAAAGGAGGGCTATGAGCCAAATATAAACAGTGTGTGCGGGAAAAGATGCAAGAATTGGGAAGGTTGATTCACAAGGCGAGGACAGTCTCCTCGTTAAAAACGATGGAAGATTGAGTAAATCCTAAGAAGTACATTGAGACTGTAAAAGCTGTCAAGTATACGTGTGGGTATGACAGAGAAACGGACAATTTCATTTTTTAAGCTAGGCTAACAGTGGGTGCGTCTGACTGTTACGGCACGCACAGAGATGAGAAGGGTATGTGTGGACTTATTTAACTCTGGGGGATATGGTGAATAAGCCAAAGTCCCTGTGAGGGACCAAGCAGTCAAGGGGAAAGGACACAGGATTTCCGATCAAAAAAATGATTTATTAAATACAAAAAATAAAGTTACAAAATAAAATCAGGTCTGGGCCCATAACAAAAAAGGGTCAACTGAACAGAAATCAAATCAAACCAACCAAACCAACCCAACATGACCTCCTTAATGACACACATGGGGAACTTATTACACAAAGGACTAGTCGTTAAAAAAAACGCTGTCTCAGTGTGGATGGAAGGCCAAAACGGAGAGAAAATTAGATGTATTAGAGAAAAAAATTATTAGTGTGGACATGGCCTAAGATATTCAGAGCTGACAACACCTATGATTAGAACTGTAATTATTGTGCTTCATTGATGAAATTGTATTTGCCTTTACATTTTTATTATTAAAACATAAGTTAACAATTAAAATAAATTCAACTGATTACAAACACTGTCTACCGAAGTTTTGATTTATAGTGTTTTAAAGCTTTGAATAAGAACATACCACAGAAGTCTTCTGAACAAATTGTAAGTCCTTTAAAAGGCTTATAATTTAGGTCAGACTCGACTTACTTTAACTAACCTGAGAAAAATAATAAGGTTAAAGATGTTAAGATCAAAGTACAAACCGCAAAACAACAGCTCACATTATAGCACCATAAAACAAGTTATTGTAAACGTTATCATAAGGGCATAAATCCAATTTCCCAAAATCTAGGGCATTCTTATACATGAAAAGTTGTAAATCAGGTTAATAATGTTATTAAATGTATTAAGTTGAGTTTTGTGTGGAATAATAGGGAGTTTTACACGTATCTTCAGTATATTCTGGTAAATAATTATACAGTGACAGCAAGGAAAGAATGAAATTGATCCTAAAATTATTTTTTTGTATTTATTAATCTATGCATTTATTCTGTTTTAAATCTGTAATACAGGATGTTGTTGCATGTGTGGGGTCCAACTAAATTACATCACTAAATAAAAGACAAATATTTCCAGTTGTCTTTGATGAGGTTAATTTTCTTACAAGAAAAGGCCAGCAGTCGTACAGTCACACAGAGTGAAGGGAGGGCATCCTTCCTCCTTTATAGTCTTGACTCCCAGAATGTTATATTTCTAGGCCAATGATGGTATTTTCAACCTTATGTGGAACATTAAACTTGTTCATATCATGTCTGTATCATATTGTATCCTTGAGTGGAGGCCCTCCTGTCACGTACCAATACTCTATACCATTCCAATAAAATTCTATATTAGTTTAAGGTTTGTGATGGTTCTTTTCCTGTCATATGATGGTCACACACATGTTAAAGATACAATTTCTTCCACAGGGGAAAATTACATTTAAAGGAATTTTGTGGATTCAACACAAGTTAAACTCCATCAGTAAGATGTTCTGTGTAAATTAACATCCAATCTGTACATTTTGTTATAACATTAAGCTGGTAAACCCGGAAAATATTGTAAGATATGCACATGGATAGCAGAGAGTCATTATCAGCAACAATATCAGAGATCAGGATAATCACTGGCACGTGACAATAGCTAATGTATTTAATTTAAATAAAGTCACTCAAGCTTACATATGGATGTACATTTTTAAGTAATCATTCCTCAAAGTCACACAGCCTGTTATGCTGCTATAAATACTATTAAATTGTGAGAATTTAACCTGTGTTATCGTGCAGATCTGACAATCCATTCAAACGACCGGAGGTGTTCATTTCTGTGATTATCCCTTAAGGATATATATATATATATATATATATATATATATATATATATATATATATATATATATATATATATATATATATATAGACAAGTCAAAGTTATTTTCTGTTGAGACCAACAAATGTTGTGAATAGAGATTAACATCTACTGAACCCTGAACATCCCTTTGTTTATGATTACCAATTAACTTATTTTTTTCTGGAGCAATATACATGTTGTACAAAAGACAGTAAATCAGGTCACTATAAAAGGAACATGAGAGGCTGTGAGGATGAAGAGCAAGAGCTGGAAACAAACATCAGTGAAGAATGAAGGGTTTAGTGTGTTTACTGCTGCTGTTGGAAACCTTTGTGTGTGTCGTACAGCATCAGGTAGATGGAGGACTCAATGAGAATGAGATCAGTCAACAGCTCAGGTCTGAGGACGGAGGACAGAATCCACCTCAAACAGACACTTTGAGAGATGAAGCTTCAACTGACAGCCGACAAAACTACCATCTGTGCTTCACTGACATCCATGCAGCGCTGAGAGAACTGACCGCTACAGTTACAGAGCAGAAAACCAACATCAGAGAACTGACCGCCACAGTTACAGAGCAGAAAACACACATTAGAGAACTGACCGCCACAGTTACAGAGCAGAAAACAAACATCAGAGAACTGACCACCACAGTTATAGAGCAGAAAACCATCAACAGAGAACTGACCACCACAGTTACAGAGCAGAAAACCATCAACAGAGAACTGACCACCACAGTTACAGAGCAGAAAACAAACATCAGAGAACTGACCGCCACAGTTACAGAGCAGAAAACAAACATCAGAGAACTGACCGCCTCAGTTACAGAGCAGAAAACAAACATCAGAGAACTGACCGCCACAGTTAGAGAGCAGAAAACAAACATCAGAGAACTGACCACCACAGTTACAGAGCAGAAAACAAACATCAGAGAACTGACCGCCACAGTTACAGAGCAGAAAACAAACATCAGAGAACTGACCGCCTCAGTTACAGAGCAGAAAACAAACATCAGAGAACTGACCGCCACAGTTAGAGAGCAGAAAACAAACATCAGAGAACTGACCACCACAGTTACAGAGCAGAAAACAAACATCAGAGAACTGACCGCCACAGTTACAGAGCAGAAAACAAACATCAGAGAACTGACCGCCACAGTTACAGAGCAGAAAACAAACATCAGAGAACTGACCACCACAGTTACAGAGCAGAAAACCATCAACAGAGAACTGACCGCCACAGTTACAGAGCAGAAATCACACATCAGAGAACTGACCGCCACAGTTACAGAGCAGAAAACAAACATCAGAGAACTGACCGCCACAGTTACAGAGCAGAAAACCATCAACAGAGCTTTAGAGACGCAACTGAGGGAACAACAGATGTTTATCCTGGAAGAGATGAACAAGAAAAATGATGTTATCCTGGAAAAGATGAACAAGAAAAATGCTGGTACCTCACTAAAACATTCTCTATTTTATCAATGATCCTCCAAGTAAAACACCAATGCAATACGATGCATATTGTAAGCGTTAGCATAAAGTTATGTTTATTGTGTGTCTATTACAATAATCAGTCTAAATATCATTTAACAAAATCTTAATTCCTTCACAGAAATATCAAATCTTACTCTGAGTCAAGTGGAGGAGTTGAGAAAGGAAAATAGAGGTGAAAGTGTGCTTGAATGGTATTCAGTTTATTCTCAAAAAGAAAGAAATATCAAAATTCAATATATTGTTTATGTTTTTTAACAACAGACAGAGAAATAGCTTTTTCAGCTTCACTGGTGCAATCTGGCGGTGGAGATATTGGTCCTTTTACCTCTGAAATCACACTAACCTACAGGAATGTCTTCACAAACATAGGGAACGCCTACAACCCAAATACAGGTAATAATCAATGAAATGAGTCATAAAACTCAGTTTATAGTAATGAAAATCCTTCTGCTCCATTCAGACCTCTCTGCAGTTGTGTAATGTGAATAAGAGAATTAGGGGAATTTTCAGGAACTTTTTCCTGCATAGAGAATTACAAGGCGGCCGCCTCTTTTCATGCCGCCTCTGGCTCTTAACAAAACTCGGACAGTCACATGCTCAGATACACTTTTTGTCATTGGATGAACAACCCAGACAGGTTTCTGATTTGTCAATGAAATGATTTGTGAGCCACACCGCTTTGATGGAAAAGGTAATGAGGGTTGGAATGTTAGCGCGTTAGCATATTAACTGATACTATGGAAATGGACCTTGATCGATTTTATCCATACAAGGCCTAAACTATATTAAATAAAACATAATTAAAAACAACTATTTAAAGTAACTATCAATGTAGTGTAGTAAGAGTATTGGGCAACCTAAAAGCTGTTCTGATTGACTAGGTCAATCTCGACGTGTAGCTTAAAATCGTTTTTTTAGAGTTTCCCTATTCAGGGCTAAAACAGGCAGTGTATATTGGGGTGGGGGTGGGGGTTTAGGGGGGTGCACGGTAGGCCTATGTAGCTCGCCGCCTAATACCTATGCACGGGTTTGTCTGTCACGGCCATAGGTCACTGCATGTTGCTTTGAGTCGCATGTTCTCTAGACTCGTCACTATGGAAACAAAGACACTAAAATGCAATCACGGGCAAATTAACTACTCTACTTCTTCTTGTGAAATTGATTTCATTGTAATTACTTTTAGTATTACCCATACTGTAAAATCCTTACTTGTTTATTCAACTAGGTGTGGGTCTATGTAAAATTACGCCCGTTGATATGACTATTTGTATTATTGGTAAGAAAATCTATTTTATGTATTTATTTATGTATTCAGACCTATTGTTAATTCTATAGTAGCCTATTAAAGGATAAAATTCTCTAGGTTTGTTAAGCATAAGTTATTCCACAACATGCACATTTTTATTATTCAATATGTATAAATATATCTCTCTCTTATTTCTTATTATAACTTATTTAGGCTACTCATTTCCACTGACACTTTTCAGCCAAGTATTTTTTTCTTCCCCCTCTCGCCGTTACTTTTGCATACGCTTTCGTTTCAGAGGTGGACGCAACTCTCTGCCAAAAGACCCGCCCTCTTCTGACTCTGATTGGTCCTGAACCTGATGGTATTATAAACAAACCAATCAAAACAACAATGGCAGCGAGTATTACCCAATCAAGGGTAGAATAGGGCGAGTCTTCACAGAATGCGGGTGGCATGATTTGCATGGGATCATGCGTTCGGAAATACGGGACAAACGGCATCCCGTATTGATTCAAAACGGGACGCGCTGTTTATTTCACAAAAATGGGACGATTCCATATTTTAAGGGACGGGTGGCAACCCTATGTGTGAAACACAGTAGGCTATATAATGGTCTATGAAAAATACTCATTAAATTATCTTATTATTAAAATACATGATGAGGATTTTACCACCTCTGTCTTGTTTTGAGCCAGGAAAATCTACACCGGTTTCAACAAAAAACTGAAAACTTTGTATGTGTTTTGGCGGCCTGAAAAAGTACACTTAAAAAAGGGGGGCTTCAAAGTGCAAGTTTTTGGAAACAATACCTTTATCGTGACTATGTGAAAAAGGTGATGTCATGTGCATTCATATTACATGATCAGTCCAAGGGGGTAATCCATCGACCGGAAGTTGAAGCCTCGCGGGAGCTGCCATCTTGCAGCAGAACTTCACTTGCGTTAGCATTTCCATTGACTCCCATTCATTTTGGCGTCATTCGGCGAATAACTTTACATCTGAGGCATTTGAAGACCCCATTTGTCCATTATTTATTTCTAAAGAAACACGACAATGTATAAAATGCTCCATTACCTTGTAGCTTATGTTATGGCCCCGTAGAAGCAGTTTTTTTTTTGTAAAAGTAGCTAACGATTGCGTCATAATCACGCGACTCTGTCGCACAGTAGAGAGATTACCGTATGGACAGGAGGAGAAGCTCGCGATCAATCGGGGAAACGTGGAGGCAAAATGACAAAATAATTAATCAGAATACCTAGCAAAAGTTTCTCCTGCTCCTAGCTCATGAACAGCTCCTACTCACACTCTCCGCCTCTGCAAGTTTCGGAAGGGAATGATTCAGATTTCTCATGCCACAGCCACTAGAAGACAGACTGTTGCGCACATCACATCTACTTCGTCAAGCTCTGTTTGAGTCTGCGCGTCAGGAACGGAAGTGCTGAAGAATCGCCATAAACGGGCTTCACTTGTCTCAATGGAGTTCCAATGAGATGGCTCTGTCCACGTCTTATACTGTCCATGGATCAGTCTATAGACTATACTACTATATCCGTAGTGTTTCTTTACAAAGTGACATCGCCAACTACTGGCCTGGCAGCAGAATACAGCGCTTTAAAGCTTTTCCACAGATCTGTGTGAACGGAGATTGAAAAACGCAAAGAAAAAACTTGTTTAATTTTAGGATATTGTTGTCGTGTAAGCGTAGCCTGAAATCATCTCTCATCTTTTGAAACTATCACACAGTGTGTTTGATAATTAAGCGATCATACAGGAAACATCTAATTCTGTATCTCTTGTTATTTGATTTAGGTGTTTTCACAGCCCCGCTGAAAGGAGCGTACATGTTCAGAATCTCTGTATTTGGTCATGGCCCAACAGTAGCAGCTGCATCCATTTTTAAGAATGGAGAGCGTGTGGTTTCAGCATATGCTAATCAGCCTCAGAGGGAGTTAAGCTCCTCGAATGGAGTTGTGTTGATCCTGGAGGTTGGAGATGTTGTCTATGTGAGACTTTGGTCTAACGCGAGGATATATGATAGCTACAATCACCACAGCACTTTCAGTGGTTTCCTACTGTTTCCCTTAAGAGAACAGGAGCTTTGCAGAATGTGATTCCAATAATTCTGAACCTTCAGCGTATGATAAAATCATTAACATATGAACCTGCATTAATAAATTAACTAAAGTTTTGTTAAGTGTTTTTTTAAATATCTATATCTAAAACACAAATTCACAAAACAAACTCATTCAGCTGTGTAAAATAAGTATTTCCAAGGTGTTTTCTTTTTGTTTTGTTTAAATTCTTTATTTTCAGTCAGAAAAACAGAATTATAAAATAAAAGTAGTATCTGTCCATTGGATTTCTCATGTTTTTAGTTTTTTAACAAAACATATACATACTTTGAACAATTACGGAGAGAATACAAATGACTACATTGTTTGGGACATAAAAAGAGAGGATATGGAGGAAGATGGAAAAATCAAGCACAGCATCATTAATTCTGCACCTCGACGAAGTCTGGTCTTAATGGCCATACATCATTTTCAAGGGTTTTGCATTTGAAATCATATTTAAACGTTATAAAATCATTAAAATTTCATTACAAATGACTTTGCCAAAATTCACATCTTCACTTGTTAATTTTATGCATCATATTTTGCAATATCACATTATGATCACTATGACACCTGAAAATTATGTTTTAAATGAGAGTCCTGAAATAAGCAGTTATTTTAACTATTTCAAATATCTGTATCTACAACAAATTGTGTGTGTGTGTGTGTGTGTGTGTGTGTGTGTGTGTGTGTGTGTGTGTGTGTATATATATGTGTGGCAAAGTGTGTGAGGGCAGCTCTCCTATATATGGAATTGGGCGATGCAATAAAATATACTTACGCCCAAAACTCTGATTGATGTTATCTCCGACTACGCCACCTGAGGAATTTCACCCCAAGAATTTAACAACCTCTAACTGAAAGGCACCCGCAGACTCTAACAATGTTTGAATCAGAGACAATAGTAGTCGTACAAATTTTAATTAATTGTTATGACACAATAGTTATAAAAGGCATTGACCAGCAATCACTCTCATCTATTTGTTAAATTCTATCGTTAGCAGGAGAGGAAACGTCTCAGGTTAAGTACGTAACCCTGGTTCCCTGAGAGGGAATGAGACGCTGCGTATAACGCTTCGGGAACGCCCCTGCGTGATTGCGTCATTATGGGACCCGCCACATTTCTGGGGACCTTCGGCACATAATCTTCTTTTGGAAATAGGAACGCTTTCACCATACCAGGCGCGAACTCAAGGCACGAGGGAGCATCTGACAGTGCTTGTAAATCCCCGATTCTTTTAATAGAAGAGACAGAAAGAAGAAACAAAGTTTTTAATGTGAGAAACTTCTCTGAAACCTCTTCAATGGGCTCAAAGGGGGCCAGGGCCAGACCTTCCAATACAATGGCTAAATACCAAGTCGGCACCCTCGAGCGTGCCGCAGGCCTCAGCCTCAGAGTACCATGGAGGAAGCGAGTTACCCATGGGTGTCTTCCCACTGACGCCCCATCTATAGGGACGTGATAAACAGCTATAGCTGACATGTACACTTTCAAGGTGGAGGGAGACAGTCCCGGAGAAAACTTCTCTTAAAGGAAATCTAGTACTGAACCAACTGGGCAGTTAACTGGATTCACAGACTGACCTGCACACCAGGCAGCAAAAACTCTCCATTTTAGGGCATAAAGCCTCCTTGTGGAAGGAGCTCTAGAGTGTAACATGGTCTCCACTACCTCAGTAGAGAGACCCAAGTCAATGAGCCGGTCCCCCTCAGAGGCCAGGCCCACAGTTTCCATAACTCCGGGCGTCGGTGAAACATTGACCCCGACGCCTGGGAGAGAAGGTCCCTCCTGACCGGTATTTCCCACGGAGGACCCTCGAGGAGAGACACAATGTCTGAGAGCCACACTCGGCCCGGCCAGAACGGGGCTATCAGTAAGAGCCGAACCCCGTCCCGGCGAATTCTCTCCAGAACTCCTGGTAGTAATGCCAGGGGGGGAAAGGCATTTGTAGCCTCGGCCACGTCTGTACCATGGCATCCAACCCCAGGGGGACTGGATGCGTTAGGGAGTAATATAGGGGACAGTGTGTTGTCTCTTGAGACACAAACAAATCCACCTGAGCTCGCCCGAAGCGACTCCAAAGGAGCTCCACCACCTCGGGGTGAAGTCTCCATTCCCCCGGCACCACTCCTTGTCTCGACAGAGTCTGCCATCTTTTTCATCCAACCCGGAATATACATTGCTCGAACTGACAACAATTTTCCCTGGGCCCAGACCAGAACTTGATGCGCCAACTTCCAGAGTTTACGAGATCGTACACCCCCCTGGCGATTTATGTAGGAGACCACCGATGTGTTGTCTGTGCGAACCAACACATGGTGGCCCCTGAGGTCTGGGAGAAAGTGTCTGAGTGCCAGAAAGACGGCCATCATCTCCAACTGGTTTATGTGCCAGGAAAGATGGTGGCCGCTCCACAGACCCTGAGCTGAGCAACCACTCATGGTCGCCCCCCAACCGGTGAGGGACGTATCCGTCGTTAGCGTTAATCGACGACAAGGAGCTCCCAACACCGGACCCTGGGACAAGAACCAAGGGTCCTTCCACATCACCAAGGTACGTAGACACCGACGCGTGACCTTGATCATGCGAAAAGGATTTTTCACCACTGTAAGGGTCTCATGTACAGCAGGCCAAAAGGAATCACGTTGGACGCTGCTGCCATAAAATCCAAAGTTCTCTGAAACTGTACTACAGTGAGTGACTGGCCTAGTCTTATCCTGCGCACGGCTTCCAGGATCGATTTTATCTTGCCGGGCCCAAACGGGCTCTCATGGTCTTTGTATCCCATACTACGCCCAGAAAAGTGGTGCTCTGCTGTGGAACCAACACACTTTTCTTTACATTTAGCCTTAACCCCAATGTTTTCATGTGAGCTAGCACAGTATCTCGATACTGAGCCGCCTGAAGTTCCGACTGTGCCAGGATGAGCCAGTCGTCTATATAGTTCAGCACACGGATGCCCTGGAGTCTTAAAGGAGCCAGAGCTGCATCCACGCATTTTGTGAATGTGCGGGGTGATAGTGCTAGGCCAAATGGAAGGACCCGGTACTGGTACGCTTCGCCCCCGAAAGAGAACCTGAGGAACTTCCTGTGTTGCGGAAGGATGGAGACTTGAAAGTATGCGTCCTTTAGGTCTATTGTGACACACCAGTCCTCGGATCTGATTTGACATACAATCTGTTTTAATGTGAGCATTTTGAATCTCAACTTCTTGACTGCCCGATTTAGTTGGCACAGATCTAGAATGGGCCGCAGCCCCCCACCCTTCTTTGGAACTATGAAGTACAGCTGTCTGCCTGACCTGCTGCCGAGTATGCCCTACCCACTAACGTAGATGTAGTCCTACCAGGTTTAGTGGGCAGCTGCGGGGCTTTCAGCGATGATGCAGATTCGGGGGAGAGATAGCCCGCGAGCGTCTCTTCCACCCACGGCATTTGCCGCACAACCATGTTTCTTTAACCCTACTATGTTTGAATACTCAGTTGTTGCTGGGTTAAATACTCTAAATGATGCCGGTCTAACCCACGACTTTGATACCTCCTTATGAACGTCGGGAAAGAACGGTAAGCCCCGCTTTGGAGGATGCGATCTTGACGGCAAAAATCTCTCATCTAATTTACTCTTTGTCTTAGATGACTCTTGCTCACTGGCTGGCCAGTCCAGATTTAATCTAGCAACCGCATGAGTGATAACCTTCAAAAGCTCCTCTTGTGTGTGTGTGTAACTGTGTGTGGTGTAAACTCTTCATCCCCCAAGCTCACAACATCCACTTCCACAGAACTGGAAGGTTGCTGCGCTTTTGCTTCAGCGCGAGCAGAAGAAACCGCAGTGCGCACTTCTGACTCGCAAACTGAAGCATTGGATTCAACGGAGAATGGAAGAGATAGGAGATCACCCGTCTCGAACCCCGCCGCTAAATCCATTTGTGAACCCCAGGACGCGCGCCTCCACTGTGCCTCAGCAGCAGCGGGACCCGAGCCCCGGGGAACGCGAGCCGAAGCATCCTCCTCAAATAGTGCTCGGCGGGACCGGAGAGTTCTCATTGGCAGCTTCTCGCAATGCTCACAGCCAGCCCCCTCGAGAGCTGACTGGGCATGCTCTACTCCCAAACACATCACACACAGCTTGTGTGTATCCCCACCCGTGAGAAAACAAGGACAGGGAGTAACACATTTTTTAAACTGTTCCATTTTGCTATAGAGAGACAAACACACACCAAATGACAGAATCGAATTCACATAGAGCGCTTGTGAAGACACAGAAGCTAGTGTTTGTCAGTTCAGGGGTGCTTTATAGGTTCCTGGTCAATGACGTCACCCGCCGTAGGACGTCTCGTTATGCCATTGGACTGATTTCACGAGTGCTTCATGACGCAATCACGCAGGGGCGTTCCCGAAGAGTTATACGCAGCGTTGAGTTCCCTTGAAAGGGAACTTGGCTTACCAACAGGGGCATTCTCAAGATATCACCCATATAAAAATCACCCTTTTCACAGTGCACACTAGGGGTGTAACGAGACACAAAACTGACAGTTCGGTTTTCCCACGGTTTTGACGTCTCTGTTCGGTTCGGTTCAGAAAGCTAATATTGTCTTTGTCTTTAAAATTAATTCAATTACAATTAAACAATCCTACAATTAAACAAGGATTAAAAAAATCTGCTAATGCTGTAAACTATACAGGGAGCCGCACATTACTAAAACATTAAAGGTTGTAGCCTAGACTTTTAACCTAAATTCAGATGCTATTTATTTTTTAGATATAATAATCAACACACAACACATTGTATGAAAACATGTAAACTGAACATAAGGCAGTTTTTGCATTAACTTGTGTTTTTACTCTAATTTGTTATTGAAATATAATTTACACTTTCATTTTCATGAAAGATATTTAAAACATACATTAAATGATCAAGATATCATTAACAGGTTAAGTAAAATATAATATATAGGCTAACATAGTGCATTTATTTAGTGGAAGAGTTCGTTTATAGGAATAAAGTTGTGGACACCAAATCAC